TATTTTACCAAGATGAGGGACAGAGTAATTTTTTTGAATTTCTTATAATATCAATTTTCTTACACTTTGACACATCACATAAACTAAAATAAATGAGAATTTGTACTACAAATTGGGTTAAATGTGTTATATTTTATATTTATTGTCACATATCATTCACACACCCGTTAAATATCAACCATTTTGAAAAATTACCATCTTGAAAATCACATTATGTACAACTATACAGACAGCATTGGCGTCAAAATAAGCGTTTCAGCAATGTTTGTGACCCACGTACACCAAAAGTAACAAGTTACACACTGTTTCTTCTGTATTTTCTTCAAGCACTAGTTACAGGCTATACACTTAATTTTTTTCAGTTAGCACAGACTCTTAAATTTTGAGGTATGGGGAAATGAAAATACAAAAATGAGCAAAAATGACCATTGTCCCAACATCCAAAATTGAAATTTTCTCACTTATTTAAATTTTGGTGCATTATTACCTTTATGAACAATAATGAACATTATTATCATCATTTAAATGAAAATCAAGAATACCAACATCTTATCTCACCTAATCCCCTACCACTCCATTTTTCAATACAGTACTTAATTCGCCATAGCTTAACGGTCGTTCCATTATAATAAAACGGGTACCCTACCTTTTGAGTAGTTAATAATACATCGTCTAAGGCCTAGGCTAAATACACATTGTTCGAGTTAATTCATTAAACTGGTAATCAAACAACTTAGCCTAGATACTGCTTTATATACTGGTGATTTAAATAGTTATTACCTGGAATGGAGCCTTAGAATTGCACCTACTAGGCCCTACTAACACTAGATTGCTCCCACAATCACATGGCTCACTGGCGGCGAGCTGTGTCGCAGTTGATGCCTCACCACTCAGGTCATGAACTTCCTGCTTGTTAAATCGCGCTTGCGCACTTCCCAAGAGGGGTTATATTTTCTACTTATGTATTAAAATTAAATTGATGTTTATAAAATTACCTATACTAGGATGTAAAAATCTATTATTAACTTTGATTATAACTGTTTAAAATTTAGACGTAAACTTTAGAAACGCATTTTATACCGATTTCTAGCCCAGTACGAACAAAGATTTTTATACGGTTTTGAAGCATACAACAACAGCTATCAAATGACGTCAGTTTTGTACATGAACTCTTGACCGGGAAAGCCGCTGGAGCGTTTAAAATAACTAGACCCCGCTAAAAATCCCTGCAGCGATGGGCTGACGCGAAATGGAACAGCGAAAAGTGTGCCGTGCTTCGGCGGTCGTACAGAATGAATGGTACATGATAAAAGTAAAATAACAACATTAAATGATAAGGGAGACATTCTTTCTTTTGATATAAATTTTATTGAAAACAGTTAAGAATAATGGTAAGAAAAATAAAATTGAAAAAGAGCAATTTTCAATAATATAACCTCATTTCCAACAGTAAGAACGCAGCTGTTGTCATACCTATTTATATACCTATATATCATGCTATGCTGTTTTTCCCCCATTTTCAATGTTAAAACAGCAATTTTTAACGATTTGGTGAGAAATGACCAAAATCATAAACTTTAAAGGCTGATTTCTCAAATATTGTTTTTTAAACAGCTGTATGTTTAAACTCCTATAACTTTATATCGAAATGTTGGAGTTAAATGATTCATTTACTATTTTATAGCTAATTTTACTGTTTTTGACCCTGTATTAATATCTAAAAATCGATTTTTGCAACGAGTAACTGGTTTGACTTTTCTTTGCCACATATAATATGATATACAAGATTATTTGAAATCTGTAGATTTAGGCTTCCCAGGAGCATTTTCCAAATTACATGTTTGTTGCATATTAACAGCAATCCATGAAGTTCTGCAAGCATCAAAGAAAGAACACAAGTATTTCATAAATAAGACTGGGAACCAAAAGAACATTTGGTTGAGAAATAAAATATTACCTATAAATCATACTAATGTTGAAATTGTTATCCAGTTTTATAGATATATTTTTGCAAGTACAGTAAATATTTTATTTTACACTAAATATTCAGCCTCAGGTGCGAGTTTTTCTATGAAATTACTGGACTTCATTTTAATTCTGATGACTGTTCAGAAATGGACTCCACTGAAGGGTGCTCTCTACACGTCACTTCTAATTGGTTTTTCTCGTGTGGTTTTGATTCGTGTTCATAAAGAGATATTCTATAGTACTTCATATCAATTTAACTAGAAAATATCATTAAAAGTATAATGTGTTTTTCTTAAATGAATCGGGTATCTGAAAATATCAAATTAAACAGAAGTTAATTGAATTACTCATTAATTATATGCATTTAAATTGATCATGCATAAATTGAGCATACATATTACCGTATAATATTAGTATACCAAGCATCATTCATTTGTAGACTTTGTGTTCACTTGCACTGTAGTCATCCAATTTTCTATTAAAATGATGAATGCTTGGCTGCTGTCAAGATGTATTGGATTTGATTTAAGTTTTAAAATATATTTTTCTTCAAAAGGGATATATCCTTTAAAAACAGAGTATGTCAAGAAATACATTACAGGTTTCAATCATGCCCATATACTGTATTGTAATCAAATGGTCATTAAAGCCAGAAAGTAGCATTTCTTTCTTGGTGGTTTATTCACCATTCACCAAGGATATAGTCTTAATCAGCAAAGCTAGTTTTCAGAGGAGTACTGGAAGGAGAGGTTTACTAATTTTAAATAATTTTAGGTCTATTTAGTGTACTTATAATACATAATACCCCATTTATGAAATTATAAATCTTAAGCGCATTGTGATTTAGACGCTCTCAAATAGACTATTGGTGGCATGCAAGTGCATCGGTCCATCCAATTTTAACGATAGGTCATTATAATGCATACTGTAGGATTAGGATAATTCCTAGATGATTATTATATCTGTCCTGAAAAATAAAAATGGCTCAGGTAGAGGAAGTAGAAGAAGAATCATAGGCCTAAAGGCTGTTTTCCAGTAGACGAATTTTATTGCGCGCATCAAACGTTTTCACCTATATGCATGCGCAGATTAATTTTCATTGTGTATGGGTAAACACATTCAATTTAAAGAACACAGTAATGTTCATGTATTCTCTGAGATATTTGGGCTGTTGTGCGTGAACACGGTGTCTAGGTCTCACAGGTTCCAAGTTACACAAATTTTAAGATGGGGGACTTCTTTTAGGGCTATGGGGATCCCCGAAAATCAAGGTCCATCTCATTAGACTAAACTGTACATACTTAAGGAATGGAATTCCACTTTTTCATATTATATTCTTTAAAGTACTACACATAATCTTCAAGGAAGAGATCTAAATTTTTGAAATGAGGCAGTACCACTTTCATACAGCCATAGACGTAATATAATTATACAGATAATATAATGTCAGCTCGTTGTTCCAGTGACTAGAACATCCACATATAGTTGGAGAGCTTTTACTGTCGCAGCTTCAACTTTGTGGAACTCCATACCCATTTCCATCAGACAGTGTGTTACTTTCAACTCTTTTAAAACCAAGCTAAAAACTTTTTTTTCCCATCAAGTTCTTCATTAATTTAACATGACATCCTTATTCCATTTTTTATGTACAGCGCATTGAGAGCTTGCTGACTTATATATTATTTTATATATATATATTATATATATATATTATATATTATATATATATTATATATTAATGAACTATTATTATTATCATTAATAAGTATCTAATAATGGTATGATTCATATTCTGTATATGCTAAATACTGAAACATTTAGGATTTTTTTCCGTTAAAAAATAAAAGACAACAATGGCGAAACCGGGGGACACATGTCCTCTATATGTCCCCTCCCTAAATCTGCCATGCTCTTTTTTTTTTTTTACTTTGTCTTTCTGTTTTATGGCCAATGAATAATAGCTATAGAATGACAGCCAAGCTTCCATTCTCTCTAATCTACCTGTTTAATTTGGACTTGCTCTGTTAAAAAAAAAAAACCCTAGATGCCTTTTAATCTATATTATATATTATATATATATTATATATTAATGAACTATTATTATTATCATTAATAAGTATCTAATAATGGTATGATTCATATTCTGTATATGCTAAATACTGAAACATTTAGTATTTGTATGCCATTTAGGATTTTTTTCCGTTAAAAAATAAAAGACAACAATGGCGAAACCGGGGGACACATGTCCTCTATATGTCCCCTCCCTAAATCTGCCATGCTCTTTTTTTTTTTTTACTTTGTCTTTCTGTTTTATGGCCAATGAATAATAGCTATAGAATGACAGCCAAGCTTCCATTCTCTCTAATCTACCTGTTTAATTTGGACTTGCTCTGTTAAAAAAAAAAACCCTAGATATAATTACCAAAAAAACAAAAAAAAAATACCTGTAATTTATCAGAATTCTTGAAAAATTGATGTCAACTTTTGATGTTAGCCTATACAAGCGTAATATAATTTTCATTATGTTTCATCGGTAAAAACATTAATAAGCAAATTTGCTGTAGGTGAATCATCTCTTTTTTTTCTCCTTCTCTTTTTTTTTTTTACCTTGTTTCAGATCAGATATTGCCTACCAGTCCTTGTTTACCTGGCAGTAAAATAGTGATGTAAAGAGCAAAGCATTAGTTCTCAAACCCTAGGGGGTAGTTGCTGAACTGTGTTCCTTGTGCAGTAGAACAAATTGTAGACATAAAACGATAGTAGGAGGATTTGTATGGACAGGAGGATTTTATCTTGACTCATCAGTCATTCGTTTCCTAGGTTCAGTAATCTCGAACAAGTATAAAGAAATTCTATTATTATTTTGGATTTATCACCTAATCACATAAATTATCAGAAAATCATGTTCGTCATGAAAATAACAGAGTGCCGATGAATTTACGGTGATTGTCCGTTGCGATGATTCTATCTTTGCCAATATGGCGTCATCATACAAACTCATTACAGTAATGCGATTCTTTGTGTTATTACAGTGGTAACGTCTTGTGCTCGTAGTTGTATGGTGGAATTTTAGAGGAGAGCATGTCTTGCAAGCCTAATACGTGCAATAAACAGGTAAGACATTCCATTATATGAAACTTCTGGCGGGCTAGTTAAAAGATAGTGAGGGAACTCAAAAACATATTATGTTTTTTTTTTTTTTGAGTAATGTATGATATTCAGACAGTGATGGTAAACTGGCAAGTTTAAGGCATGCATAATTGTAGGCTACATCATTGACTAGTGCTTTATAATGATGTGGTATTGAAGGCTTTAATTTGCTTTCTTTTGTGCTATGCTTGTTGAGTTTGTTATGGTAAGAGACTTGCACAATACATCCACTACACTTTTTTTATATAAGAACAGTAACATATTTTGCAAAGGCTCAGTTTTCTTGATTTGGGCCAAAACGTTTTTTTTTTTTCTTATTTTACACACTTTTCAAAGATAGAAAATTATTATTGTAGCAGCATATTACTGTTCTGTATTTATAGAGGACATAGATAAACCCTTTTAAACATTAATAAAATATATGTAACTACTTTGATTTGTTGGTTTTTTATTGAATGATTAATGCAAACCTCATTTGACATTTTACCTCAGCCTCAATTATTTCTTGTTTTATTCTTATTCTTTAAATTCAGCTTCAGTGTTCTAATACAACGTGTTCTCATTAAAAAAAAAGACAAGTGTGTATGATGTCCTTTGCATATTTTAAATAGTTTAGCTATCAATTGAAGTTGAAAGAAATATCGGTTTCACAAAAAAAAATCTAAGATAATATGTCATTCATACTATAATACCTCCATGATACGTCTATAAGTATTCTTTACATAAACCCTTAATTTGTCTGTATAGTTTATCAGTTTAAGTCAGTGAATAGTTATTTCTAGTTAGATTTATTTGGTGCTTTCAAATGAGCAATTTTTTTTTACTGAATTTTTGGGGCCTTTCCAAATTATACAGTGCCACAATCAATATTGTTGAAGTTTAGAATACTATAGATCTATTATAGTAGCCCACATTTATCCTGAGTTATTTAATGATGATTTTAGTCAAATGTTTGTTTGACTTAAAAAATGTTGTAGATAATCCTAGTCTCGCATCCATGTAGTATCATATGGATATATCTATATAGCTTCTTTAATTTCAACTTAACTAAATTTATACCTTTTAAGGGTATCATGTTTTTAAAGTCAAAACTTTAGCAGGACAATCTATGTTATAAAGATTAATGATGTACTCTATAAACATTGCTGGATCCAAGTTTTTTTTTGTTTTTTTTGTTTTTTTTGCCAGGAGAGAATGCTGGTTATGCAAGGATATCCAAGGTTGGGGGAGGCTCAAGCCACCTATTGTGGTGGTACATGGGGCTATTCCCACTGGAAGCTTTGGAGGCTTTTCCACTGATAAAAACAAATAATACTGAAAAAAGCAGAAGTTATACAAAATAAATGATAACAATTTTATAAAATAAATGATGGAAATATTATGAAATAAATCAAATCCAGGATTAATCTAAAGATTAATTTCTTATAGATAGTATTTTGTAAAAGAATGCAACAGTTTAGCCTGCAGCTGCAAAAGATGTATTTTTTAATAGAAACTGAAATCTTAATATCCATGCTGCCATTATACATGTTTTACATCTGTTTTTTTATGACTTATTAAATGATAACATGCTATTGGCTATCAGTTGTCATTTATACCTCATTTATCCTCAGAATTTGAAGTTAAATGAAGTGAAACTGTCTTAAATTATATGCTTCATTGTTCTGTGAAAGATGTCATTTATATTCAATAATTTGCTTTCCATCAATTTGATATAATGTATACAGTAGTTTTGTCATTCATTTGTATTTATTTTTTTTTGGTTTTTTTAATATGATATCAATTTATTTTTGTGAATATATATGGTAATTTATAGATTCATAAATGACATTTAACTAGGAATATAAGGCACTGCATTGAAATGATAATAGATAGAGGCCGAGTTAAAAAAAAAAAGATTTTGCCCAGTGTACTGCCCCATTCTCAGTCATCCTCTTTAAAAATAGTAATAAATAAATAAATAAGACCCTACTGGAAATAAGTCTTCAACATTTTCAATTGAGGATCATATAAGTGTGTTCAGTGTTCACTCTGAAGAAATCCAATCCAATACCAAATCCAATCCAATTCAGAAGATCTTATTATTAAATTCACAGAGGCTTTAAGAATTGTGCACTATATAACCATAAATTTATTATGATTACTAAAGTCATAAAACGAGCACACAAGGTAATTAAAATGGATGTAGGTAATTTACCAATATTTACAGTAAGGATTTACTTTGTAAACTTGAATAAATTCTTTATCATACCCAATAAATTATATCTGTATTATTAATTCAATCAGAAAAATCGTGAGGGATTTGTTTATACTTTACATAGCATTGCAGGGTTGCCGAGTAAAAGTCCAAAGCGATTGGATATGAAATAATTAAAATTAGGGGTTTCTTCTATATAATTTAATAATCCCGGAAAAAATTGTCTTGAGCTTAGAATCGATGAAGCATACAGAAGTTAAATTAAAACATTCAATTGTACATTTAAAAGGATCAAAAACTTTCAATGAGACATAGTAAAGATGTACTATCTGTCATGAAGTAAAAAAAATTGAAAATTTTGATATCACAATTCTTCATTTGTATATTGATCATGAACTATTTGTTGTACTTAAAATTAAATGGGTGAGTTGGGATGTTCCCTTAATTATTAGGGATCTAGTAGGCTAGACATTATAAACTATCTAAAGAATTTTAGAATTGTCCATTAACATTTTTAGGCTTCAGCCAAGAGGGGAGGGAAAGTGTGAATGGTGGGGTAACCTTCACTTTTGCTACCCCTGGATCAGGCACGGTTATTACCTTAGAGACAGTATCTAGGTCAAAATCTATTGTGTTTAAAGTAGCTAAATGTTTAGGGTTCTGTGAGCAATGCCATTAATCTTTGCCCGAGATAGATTTTCAACTCTTGGCAATGAAGATGATTTTAACCATCAGTCAAACATTATCAGAAGTGCATTTCATGTAACAAACCAATATTAAGAAATCTGTATTCCCATTAGTGTTAAGTATTAATTTTCAACATTCTCAAATTGCTTATCACCAAGTCCCTGATTGGATTAAGATCTTAATGTAAATGTACAATGTAGCATCTAGTTTGTTTCCCTCATTACAGCAGTACAGTAATTAATGTTCTGTACAACATTTAATTGATATGAGTGGATGCTTTTATCGCTTCACTCTCCACGTCGTCATTCTCCATTCTAGAATATTTAACTATGATTGGAAATATTGGCGTTATATTAATTTCATTTAATTTACTTCATAGTACATATAAGAATCTAAAAGAACTTGCTTCTGGTTGTATGTGACCTTACTTAGTACAGTAGAACCCCTCATTTACGAACCCCGATTTTACGAATTGCCGATTTTACGAACGTAATATAAAGGTGATGACGTCATAAAAATTGAAGCGAAAGATTTAAAAAAAAAAAAAACCCGCTCGAATTGTACCTGTTATTACCATGCATACAACACAACACACCATACGATACAGTACTATGTAATTCTCAAGTGAAGGAGGCCCTCTAACGGGCCTCTTCAAAGTCAGTGTTTTTTATGGCTTCACACATGTGCATGCGACAAATTTTACTTCTCTTTCAAACATCGTTTTCAGCTTTAAAATTCAACAAGTGCTTGATTGTTTTATTGAATGATCAATATATATAATAAACAAGTATCTATGGAAGTTGTATTGGAATAAAATCCACGATCTAGGTATTTAAGAAGGTAAAAATGTCCGATAAAAACAAATTTGTGCAGGGCCTAGAGTGGGATCAGAATGCTTAGAACCGAAGCTGCCAACTGTAGGCCTAGGCCCCCTCAGACTTAGCTGCGTAAGCCTGTAGGCCTAGCCTAGGCCTAGTTTATGCCAGTGTAAGTAGTATCAGTGCAAATATATAGGAATTTGGGTCAACCCCGATTTTACGAATACCAGAATTTACGAACGGCTCTGGGCCCGTGCCGTACGTAAATGAGGGGTTCTACTGTATTTGAATTTACATACATACATATGTGCATACAAAGTTCAGGGCAACCTCTAATTCAAGACCCTCTAATTCCGAGACCCCCTTAAATTCGAGGCCACTTTTTTAAGAACCAATTAACAATCGTTTACATAAAGCAACCCTTAATTAAAGACCAAACACCAAGACCACCCTGAATTAGGGTTGAATGTATTTGTGTCCAGCCATTCCATTGTAGGTCATGGCAGATGAGAAAAAGAAATGGAAGATATAAATTTCATTTTCATACAAAAGTGAATGCCCCTTTACCCCAATTTTTCATTTACCCTTTCATACAAACTAAGCTTCTTTATGAGTATTAGGGAGTGGAGGTATTTGGCCTTGAAAAAAAGCTTAGTTTTCACAAATATTGAACCCACCCAGGACGAGGGACTAGAAAGTATACAAGTAAGTCCAAGCAATAGCTTCACGCCTATTGATGTTACATATTAAAACCTAACGGTAAAATGTCCTCAGTTTTTTGCTTCTATGCTAAAATAAATTTTTGAAAGGCAATTTTGCCAAGTCCTAAAAAGAATCTTTTTAAAAACCCTTTAAATTAGGTTATTTATACCTATCGGATAATTTGAAACTTGGAAATGAAAATTTATTTGGCACTAATAAATTGTGTATTCAACAATAAGGATTGTTTTAAAAAATAACAGTAAGGTACCAATTTTTAAATTTAAAATTATTGAGAAATTCAGAATGTTTACGATTTACTGGCAGTGGCACATTGATTAATACTATAGATTTAGGAGGGAATGCAGAATAATACTGTAAATGTATAAATATAGCTCTTGACAGAGATTATAAGAAGAATGGTTATGCTTAACTGCTTTAGAATGCAGTTGGCGTTTGTCGGGTGTCGGAGGGATGACATGTTTTATAGATGTGAACAAGTGTGTATATCACTGAATTATGTGATTTATCTATTCATTGTGTATAATACCATGAAAACAAATTTCCTATGGGAAAATTCAATTGAGTATACAAGTTTGGCCTTATAGTATATCAACCGAACAAGATCAGGTTTCAACCCCAATAGGGACAGTGTGTGTATTCTCGAGAACTATTAATTAACTATTAATTGTTAATTAACTAACTATCGTAGTCATTTTTTATTTTGCATGGTGTTATGTATGTAATCAAATCAAACTTTAATTGTTCCATTCATAAAATACAATGGAAAATCTTTTTCCTTGGACAGAACATTGATTTAAGAGTTAAAAAACATATTAAAAAATTGCATAAATTATTGTTATTACAATTATTATTATTATTAATTATTATTATTATTAAAATTGTCATAATCATTAATACAAACATCAAAAACACCCCTTAAAATCATAAGATGTTACATAACAGTATTTGTAACCTGCCATATAAATCATGATGATAAGATGAAAGACTATATAAAGTGTCATATGGTAATTTTTTTTATGTGTGTGTGTGTGTGCACATGCTAACTACGTGTGTGATTTTTTTCCCCTTCAGGATGATAAATCAGTTGTTAAAGAACATCAGAATGCATCAGAAAAAAGCGTCCAAGTTAACCTGTCATATGATAAGCGCCATTCATTTGGCAACCTTCGTTTTGCTCCACCTTTACGGTAGGAAACTTGTTCTCTATGATTAAATGTTATTATAGTCTCTCATTGTACGTGCATCAGAAGAAATGTGATGATGGGAGATAATTCACTCATTATTATTATGACTGAAAGCCATACTCTGTCGTCTCTGTGTCGATCTCATGATGAAAGGCATAGTCATTACAATATAACCTTCTGAAATGTTCATAACAGATGAATTCTGGCAAGCCACCTAGGCCGTCCAATAATTATGACCAAAATTATGGTTTTGTAATTATATACCACCATGGTGTATTACCACAGATTAAGTTAAAAATTGTCTAAAGATCGTAAGTATAATATTCAGACAGCGTTGTACGATGCAGCCTGTCTTTAGGTCGGGAGAATATTAAACATGTTTAATATTCTAAACTGTCCCCAAACGCAAACCTATCGCACATTCACACAGACCGACATGACAACGAAATGTGTTCTGATGCGCGTTGTACAATGCTGTCTGACTTGGCTGTCTGGCTGTCCTTTACGTAACATCATGATGATAAACTGCAACTCATGACCAATATTAATGGATGCCTTGTAGTTTTAAGCTTAACTCATCATCAGATTTTAAGGAAATCAAACATTGTTTGACCACAGCCTTTCCCTAATTTATGTTCTATTATATCGAGATAGGATATATGCACCAATTATAATACATAGGAAATACGCACCATTGATAATACAATGGGTAAATTAATAGGGCTTGGCACTATTTATTTAATCATGCCAGCAGAATGATTAACAGACCTATACTATTGCAAACTGGAGGCTCTATATCATGTGGTTTTAGTGTCATGTTCTAAAGATGGTTTGAAACACGTTGGTAAACAAGATTGCAACATTCAAATATATCGGTAAAAACTAGTGGCAGCACCAGCGTCTGAAATCTGGGAGGGCAAGCGAGGGGCAAGGTAAAATTTTGGTTGTGGGCTCCCAAAATTTTTTCTCTTAGTAGGCCGGAGATTTTAATTTATAAAATCACAAAATTAACGGGTAACACATCCATGTGGTTGTTATTTTTATGTAAATGCTCAGTATATTTATTACAATTGTAAAAACTTTGTCAAGTGCCTTGTTTTTAAGTGGCCTTGAAATGACAGACAGACCGATCCAAGCAATTCATTTTGTTGCCTAACCTTACAGTGTTAAGCTAAAAAATTATTCACTCCCCCACCCTTCCACATCCCCCCCCCCCCCCTTCCAGCACTGCCAAACTAGAATAAAGAACCGAAGAAAGATATTGAAACAATACCACTGGAATCAATACAGGATCTAGTACAAATGCACCTGCTAGAATTACACAAATCGGCAATTACACAGGATATATGTTTAAAGAAAATCATATGCCAGACTGAATAAATATTAGTTGTTGTTGCTTTCTCCTAATGACAAGGATGGTAGTCTATGTCCTGTTGCTATGTTTGTAGAATCTCATATGGCTTATGAGTTAAATAAAGGCTTAAATAAAGTATTGACATAAACAGTGACATAACAACTGTAAAATAAGCATTAGGAAACAGAACATGACAATGAAGTGAGAGGAAGTGCATATGAACTTTTTACATTTTATGACCAACTTCTAGATACAACAGCTGGACCAAAATAAAACCATAAAAATTTTGGCAAATGAAACTGAATCCATTTTTGCATTTTGAATAGAGAACAAGATGAAACCTATACACAGTGAGTATTTATTGGTTTTATTCTGAACAGTCCTATTACCAGGTGATGGATGGCATATGTCACTTGCCTTCATAGCGAGAGGCTGCAGGTTTAAGTCCCGCACAGAGACACTTTTTTCCTACGACAAATATTACACTTATATATTATAACGATTGACACAACTCTCCTCTTAACAACAAAGACTAGTTCTTTTCAGAACTGTCTACTTGGTAATACCACAACCATTTATTATTATTATTATTGTAGAATGTCCATAAAAGCTTTTATGACCCATAATTTCCCAGTGCGTAGTGCAAAGAATACCCCACCCAGTGGCAGATCCAGTGGGTTTGGATGAACCCCCCTCTGTGAGGAAACGTAACAAAGTACTACACGGTTCTGGCTTACAAAAGGCAAGCTAACCTGCATAGGTTGGCAGATCGGACAATATTAAAATTTAAAACACTGTTTTTGGTTTGACGACGGAATAATTCATGTACGAAAGTGCGTTCTTTATGCCTATTGGTTCATCGATCCATGGAAGACTACGTATCCAACTATTCAATATTGTTGGAATATAATAATATATTGCCTATGACTTTGATATTTTTTTTCTCTATATATAGGAAGAGATAAAATTTTGAAGAGGGGGAAAACCTTGAATTTTGAATAACTTAAAGGTCATTAAAAGACACCTCAGAAGTCGGAAAAGCTCATTTCTGGCCATCTAGGAATCAAAATTTTCCCCCTTCTTTCAAATCCTGGATCCGCCTCTGCCACCCTTGCTTCTCCCTTCAACTTGGTCAGACCCGTTGTCAAACAGCTTTCTCATTCTTGAGTGTAACAGTAGGTCTCCTGTAGTCATAACTGGACATGTAGTTGTGCAGTTTAGTCATAGATTACCCATGTTTTTTTCTTAGAATGTTCACAGTTAGGTACATTAGTTTGAACGAAAATGTTGGAACTAGGGTGTACAGTAGATGGTCATACACTTTGGTTCTCTATCCTCTACATACAGTACTGATTACAGGACCTTCTACATCTCCTCGCGTGGGCCACGAGAGTGATTGGCGTGGGACTCGCGAGTGATAAGCTAATGAATAACTAATGACTAAGTGACCTATACGACATCTGTTTATCCAAGCATTACGGCATTGAGTAAAAATCAGGCTCCGCGAACCGCTACCTATTTCTCGATACCAACGATGTTGTTTATTACCAGACAAAAGAGGGCTTGCCCTAATTAAGTATGCAAGCAACGCTACGGTAATACATCGCAAATAAACTGTCTGTACATCGTTAGCTTCGGTGAATTCCAGTACATCGACTGTATCATTATTATGCTACGTAGATCGGACGATCATTACAGTATATTAGAAACTTACGAATGTTACAAACATATACAAAAATATACAGAATACAGTATCATTGTCCGCAAGTTTTTCCAAAAATATATATTACAATGATGGCTAGACAGGGCCTAGGCTCTTTATATACTGTTATTACAACGTTTCACTCGTAGGCCTATAATTGGTATTCTGTGTTGTACTATACTGTAACAAACAATTACCAATTACGATTGTATACTGATTGTATGTACACATTTTCACAGTAGCTTCCCTCTACCCAACGTATCCGCGATTGCTGTACTCGTAATATTTAATCGGAAATCTGTGATGTATGATGGGATTTATAGTGGTCCGCTAAAATTTAAAAAAAATATATCAGTGTCTTTTGTTTATTTTTACCTCGTATTGTAATGGCAAATATACAGTATTATTCTATGTGGTCAAAAAAGTATTATATCAGTGTCTTTTTGTATTGTAATGACAACTATATTATTCTATGTGGTATTGTTAAGGGGCCAGTAATGGTATTATGAACATTTTAATAAGCACAAAAATATTTAATCTGAATCCGTGATGCATGATGGGATTTATAGTGGTCCGCGCTGAAATAAATAAAAAAAAATATACCAATGTCTTTTGTTTATTTTTGCCTCGTATTGTAATGGCAAATATACAGTATTATTCTATGTGGTATTGTTAAGGGGCCAGTAATAGTATGTATGAACATTTGCAAAGTAAATACTCATTTGTAAAGTAATAATATGAATTGCGTGCTTTATGAGGCACAATAATGTAATATAACGCGCCGAAGCAAGAGTGTTTTAGATGTGGTGGGATACGTACAGTGTAGACCTATGACGAATGAATGTTTAAAAGTTGAATGTGTGTGGGAAAATGTGTGCGAGGAATTTTCCATATCTTTATTAAAATTGGCAAGCAAATCATTAATCTCTTTTGTTTCTGTGGTGGCTCTGAAAAGAGCAGTTTGGTTTGATTCGAATACATCTGGGTCTTCTTGTCGTCATTTATTCTGAGACGTACACTGTATAAAAAAGCTGGTACCCAACCGCACATGAAACATGAAAATAATAATGTCGAGACTGCATTTTTATTTAGAATCATACAGATTATTTATATGAACAATTTAGAATACCGGAAAGTGATGTATTTGAAATATTTATAAGATGAATGTGTTGACTTACTACGTCTAATAAAAACAGACAACGGTTACGTAAATAATAATAAGACGATTGTTTTATTTGGGAATTACAAACTTATTAAACGATTTTATTTTTTCTAAAATTAACTACTGCATGCAATTATTGTTCTATACTCAAAATCTATTAATCAACCACGCCTGAAAGACTCTTCGTACTAATAACAATAGAGACAAAGGAGTGTATTCAGATTACG